GCGGTCTCCCAGCCCTCTAAAAAGGTAAAGCCCAACAGTAGCAGGAGAGCTGAAATTGGAGAATGCAGAGGGGTCAAGACTAGTGACAACTGTAGCTGTAGCTAGATTTGATGGATGCATTTTGCTTTTCCCTCTTTTTTTCTTTTTATTTTTTTTTTTTAAAGGTTTTTGCTATAGGGCGCATGCGCTCACCAGACAGACAGAAAGTGAGAAATCACCCCCCAGGGGGAATGGCCACGCCGCAGTCCCTTCTCCTCCGTTCTCCTCTCAGGATCTTGGGCATGCACGCACATGCGCCCAGCCATTACGCTAACTGCTGGTCCCTGCTTTTCCCTCTTGATTATCCAGCCTCTGGTTTGCCCAAGAGCTGGATCTACTGACCTGAACTTCTGAGAACTTGGAAGACCCTTACCATTCACATGACTTTCAATATGCTGACACTGGGCATCACTGGCTGTGTTTCTGAGAGTCTGGGTTCTTAAAATTCAGGATGTTCCATGCAAAATAAACACTCCTGTAGCAGGACTCACATGAATGACTAGGTTTCTGCCTAGGAGATGAATCTCTCACGGGGTTACAGAAGGAAAGGTACCAACCTGGAATGTGCAAATTGCTGTCAGCTCTAAGAAAAGCTTCTGAAAACTATGCATTCCTTTGTAAATGCAGACTCCCCGACTCACCGGGTCTCCGTGAACACCACCTTTCTGGTTCCACCCCATTGCACTCACAGAGTACTCTCTAACATGACACCGAACCTCTGTCTTGCGTCAGACTTGCTGGTTCTGCAGGTAAGCTAGACTGCCCACGCAGAGAAGCACGTGGCGTGAGACGCCATCAGAAGAGAGCAAGCCGGCCGCGGCGTTTACATAGCTGTCAACTCGAGCATCTAACATGGACGGTTTAAAAACTTTCAGGAAAGACAATACCCCTTCCCTGAACATTCGGGTTTGATGTTATACAGCCCCCGGTAATTTTAAAGGGAAAACAGCTCCCAGGGCAGGGACTCAGTCCGCGGCCATCAACACGAGGGCCTAGAGCCCAGATGCAGCAGTTCTCTTCTGGGACTGCTGAGCACGTCAGGGAGCAATGCTGAGACGAGAGGATGGGAGGGAAGGTCCTGCCATTGGTGGAGCCTGAATAGACGTCGTGACAGCCCAAGGTTTCTTGGCCTTGGCACTGTTCTGTTGCCACTCGGGCCTGGGTAATTCCTGGTGCAGGCTGTCCTGGCAGCTAGGGTATTTAGCATCCTTGGTCTTTACCCAGTAGGGGACAGTAGTCCTTTCCCGCCTCTCATTGTGACAACCGAAAATGCCAACTGCTGAATGTCCCTAAGGGGCACAGTCACCCCCTAGTTGAGATCTGTTGTCTTTTTTTTAAGTTGCCAGGGGGCTCCTATGATGCCAGAGAGAGACTGGGGAAGAACACCCCGATGGGGTGCGGTCATGCCACCATCTCGTCACCTCTCCACCCTGTAGGGGTTCCAGGCATGCATGCACATGCACTTGGGTGTTACCAAGCTGCCAGTGTCAGGATTCAAACCCTGGTCTGCAGTGTGGGATCTGGCTCTCAAACAACTGGCTGAGGGGCCAGCCCGAGAACTACTATTAGGAACCAGTATAGAATTATCTTTAGGATATTTTTAACTGGCAAAAAAGGTACAGAACAACACATATGTGTATGCTGTCATTTATGTAAAAAGGGAAGGGAGTATGCACAATTACATGTATATATGTGTGTTTCTGTTTGTTTGTTAGTTTTTGCTATAGGGCGTGCGCTCACCAGAGACAGAGAGAGGGAAAGTGAGAAATCACCCCGAGGAGATGGCTGCACAGCAACCCCTTCTCCATTCTCCTCTTGGGATCTTGGGCATGCATGTACGTGCACCTGGCATGACGTTCAAGCTGCCAAGTCTGGGACTTGAACTGCAGAGTTGGCCGTGTGGGATCTAGCCTCCTTTACCTCCATGCCACCTGCTGGCCCTGTATGTTACTTAAAAAAAAAAAAAAAAAGTTATATGGCACCAGCAGTTAGCATAATGGCTATGTCGCTGGACTCCCACGTAGTCGACCGCGGTTGGAGCCCCGGACCCGGTGGCTTAAACTCACGC